AAAATAATGGGTATTATCACAGCTGTGAGCGGTCTTCAATGTTTCGCTTCCAGTTAAGTTTCTTGTCTAGAGTATCTCCAAGATATTTGACCTCGGTTGAGAGAGTAAGTGCCACCCCGTTTAGGGTGGGAGCTTTGAATAAAGGAGTTTTATACTTCCTTGGCAAAGGTACCATCTGTCCTGGCAGGATTGACACTAGGTCGACATTCTTTGCGACTGAGTGCGTTTTGTAATAACTCACTCACTGATCGACTAACATAAAGACTTAATAATCAACACATGCATTTTGTTCTGTAGCTGAACAGTTTTAGATCTCGACACTTAATAAACTGCTGCCTTTCGTAGCTCGGCGAAAAATCTAAAAAAAAAGTTCCGTCCGTTGTACAGATGGGCGGCAGGAGGACAAAGTAAGCATAGAAGAATGGGTAAAGAAGGCGTCAACATGCTCATACCGAGCTAGGTGTGCTATCCACAAGCGCTGTGTCCTCTTGTAAAGGTGGTTTGTAGCCTTCAATAAACTAATTCTATAGATTCGTTTACTTTGGTTAAATAGTTGCAGAGAGTGCCGAGAGCTACCATAATTGCGATCACTGGGTTGACTCATACCAACCCTACTCCTGCGCTTAACGCAATGCTAAACATTGATCCTGTCGACATTAGATGCAAAGCTGCCTGCGCACGCCTTGTTTAATTCATTTGCGGATAGAGCGAAGTTGGACGGGTAGTCGGAGGAGCGAGGAGCTTCACCTCAAATTTAAAATAACATATAAGCAATCTTTGTGAAAACTGTAGGGCTGGAACGAGGTTTCGTCGGCTATTGGCGGTGTGGAGATCCATTTGCCACATTTAATATTTTTCTAAAGAGGGGCGTGCAGTCAGTTCAGCGAGCGCTTGGCGAAAGCCTGGGAGTGCCTAATTCCTTTTATTCATGGGTGGATAGAGAGCGTATCCCGATGCTGGTGAGTCTTAACGGACATTACCCCAAGTTCACACTGTAATTTAAGCATGGAAGACAATGAACTGAAATAATCGCTTGCCGAATGTTATTGTGCGTACGCAGGGTTTTGCAACTAACGTATAAATATCATTGTTGGTACCTCCTCCCTTCTTTTCGTACCGGTAGCCATACAACCTAACCAGCTTTTTCTCTGACCAATACAGATTGTGTCGTTAGAAAACAGAAATCGCAGAGCACACTATGTGCCAATGCGAAGCCTTTACTAGACAACGACGTCGCTTCCTAGAACCACCCTACATAGAAACATATGAACTAAATAGAATTCATCCAAGACCTGTAACCAAATAGGGGTTTGTTAAAATAGGTATACATTTTTGAGAAAGATATGTACGTTTAAAACTTGGAAGTATGAATTGAGAACATACTCCGAACCAGGGGCGCTCAGCAAATTGAACTTACTGAGCCAAATGACAACAACGCTTTTCATCGAAGTAATCGCACACAGGATTTATTTTTAGTTGTTACGTGATTACGTCAAAAGAACAGGGATTACGTCTCGCAAGCGAAACAGCTCACATTTTTTTTTTTAAATATTTGCACGTCTATAATCAATCTTCCCACCATATGCTTGGAATAAATAATTAAAGTACAGAATTTATGACATCAAGCCTTTAATTCGGAGCCAATTTATGGCAGAGTCATACTTTACGCATTGTATACACAAAAATATAGTTGCATATGTATGTATGGAGATATTTACATATGTAAGTGTGTATATACATTAGGGTGGTCCTTAAATGTAGGGAGGCAATATAAATTTTGGTCCCGATTAAAGTCGGTTAAGGCGTGTCGCGCAGGGGTCAAGATTAAATTACCCTATAACAACGTCATATCCTACTCCAATCTGGANCGCAGGGGTCAAGATTAAATTACCCTATAACAACGTCATATCCTACTCCAATCTGGACCAAAATTTATATGTGATATCCCCGACTAGTAGTATCGATTTTGGGTATCAAATAAAACGAAATATTTTGAATTTTTTGGGTCCTTGGAGGCCTCCGGCCTTTGCCCCCTGTCCGACACGCATTAACCGTCTCCAATCAGGAGGGGGTGAGACTGAAAAAAAAACGTTCATTTGATTTTAAGGACCACCCCAAAATACATACATATTTTGTTCCTCAAGCACAGCCCACACAAGAAAACTAAAGGCTATAATAGCAACCAGACAAAAAAGCGACAGCGGCGTCGTAAACAAATGGCAGTTGCCAGAAGACAAAGCGAAAGAAAGAACTTAAAAAACACAAGTATTCCAGTCCAGTTCCAAGGCAACAGCGACCAGCAGGGGGGGGGTCTTAGTACTGGAAATAAAATTACATACGAAAATTATCCAACAGAGTGAGGGATAGAGAGGGAGAGAGAGAGAGAGAGAGAGGGAGAGAGAGAGAGAGGTAAGAATATAAGCCTATAGAGGTGCAAGAAATGGATTGATGGCAAATAATTTTAGCCGGCTCAGAACCAGAATAAAAAGGTGGAAAGTGGAATGTGTGAAAAAGAAAAGAAAGTGGTGTAATACTCGTATAATAAGCGACTTAGCGACCTGGGGGTGGGAATTAGAAAAAATAAAGGCGTTAAAAAGTTACCGGAAGCATGTTAAGGTCGCTGCTTGACATACAAAGGTCATGTGTTCGACTTAGAATAGGTTTTATGCTAAAATAATAGCTTTATTTATAACTCAACAACGTCTATGTAACACATATATGTTTGTATGTAGATACGTATATAAATTTTTTTTTTTTTTAATTTTTATGTGCAAAATACCGTAAACAATAGTTTATGGCTCGCATTAGCTAGCATTCTGTTTTGCTAACCCAAGGGACGCGCTCGAACAGTGCATGTAATGTAAATTTTAATATGTATGTTTACATACATACATACATATATATGTATGTACATGACTGTTTGTGATTATTCGCTTGGAACTGGAATTCGACCGCGGCGGAGTCGCTGAACTGCGGAGGAGGTTGCGTGCAACATGCAAATGCCAGGCAGCAAAATGACCAAAATGGAATTAGTGGCAACTAAACATTTTATAGTATGTATATACATATGTACACACTTACATACTTAGTATAAATATGAAAATACGTATTACTGCAATAGGTGTGGAGTTGGTGATGAAAAAGTGCATGGCAGAAGCTGAACATCATGGTTGGGGGAATGAATGGAAGTCGCAATGTAAAACTAACTGAATGGAAAGTGGCGTGAAGAGCTTTACGAGCTTGTATTCTAACGGCGCAACTGGATGTGTTCTTTTACTTTTTATTTTTAGTTAAATTATGTCTTTCATACGTTCACACACGTACGATAGACACAATTTTTCGTTTTATTTTTTTTTGTTTTACTTTAAATTATATAATTTTATTATATTTCTTTTTTGTAATTTTTATTTTATTATGGGCATTCATCTAAACGTGTAAAGGCCGCGTAAAACTTCGTAAATAAACTCGTTTTCTACCTGCAAAATTACATATGTACATACATAAGTTTACGAGGTTTACGTGGTCACGAGCCATTCACTCATATATGTATGTAGATGAATTACCTTAATTTCTTAAAAAAAAATAAATTATTAAAATTTTAATTGAAACTATTTCTATTCATTTTAATTTTTAATAAATTTGCATATTAATTTGCAATAATTAAGTACAGTTTTGTTTAATTTTTATAATGTTTTTCATTGGGTTTATTTGCTTTTTTCTTATCCCTTTTCACATTATTTTGTTAATTCTTTTTTTACATTCTTCGTATATTTTAACTATGTTAATTAGTTAATTATTTTAGATTTAATTTTTGTTATTTTTTTGCTTTACTTTTATTTTTATTTAATTTTTATATTATTTTTTTAACATACTTAATTTTCGTTTAATTTAATACCATTTTTAATTTCATGTATTTTAAAAATTATTTCATACTTTTTCGTTTAATTAAAAATAAAGTAGACTGTTTGTATTAATACGTTTTTTGTTTTAATTTAATTTATTTAATTTTTTCTTATGATTTTGTATTTAATATTTTAGTTTTTTTTTACAATTTAATATGTTTTATGTATTTTATGTTTAATTAGTTTTTAATTGTATTTATATATTTTCATCTTTATCCCAGCATAACGCTTATTTATTTATTTTTAGTTGATTTTAATTTAAATTTGATATTAATATAACATTTATTTTTATTTTGTTTAATTTAATGTAGTGTAATTAAATTAAATTAAATTTAAATTACTATTTGGTTTAATTTAATTTAATTTAATTAAATTTAATTTTATTTCATTTTCCTTTATTTGCCCCAACTAAATTGTTTTAATTTTATTTTATTGATTTTTTTTTCATGTAGTTTAATTTGTTTATATTAATTGTTTTATTTTATACGATTTGTTTTTTCTTATGTTTTTTAACTTTTATTATATTTTAGTTTAATGTATTGCATTTTTTTTTGTTATTTTCATTTATTTTTATTGGCCTTTGGTTTTTTAAAAGATACATATACATATGCAGTTTATTTAATTTTGTTCAGTTTAATTTACTTGCATATTTATTTTATTATCAATATTATTATTGTTATTATCATTTAAATATTTATTTTAGCAGTTTAAATATTTTTTGTTTTATTTTAAAAATTAGCATGACTTTTTTTTTATTTTCAATTTCTGTTTGGTTCTGCTCCATTAACTTTTCAACATTTATCTCGAAAATGAAATGATTTCTAAACAGTTTGTATATACCTATACATATGCACATACATATGTATGTATGTAAATATTTGAAATGTAAGTATATGAAATGCAAATACATACATACACATGTATGCAGTACATTAAAATGTCCACTACTCTAGTTTTGTTATGAAAAAATATGTATTTTTAGTTTTTTAAATAAATAATGCAAGCTCTGCTAATAATTTAAACACTATGAATAGCTTTTAAGTTGTTTGTTTCACTACCACATTGTTTTTGTTTTTTGTTCTTTAATTTTGCCCCCACCTGTGGCTTCTTTGCATGCAATTGCACTTTCTGCTCCCACCGTCTTTCCGTGTTCACTTTCCTCCTGCTCTTTCGTCGCTTGTTCTCGATATTGAACCTCAACACGTTTTATGGCATTCGCCGTCTTCCACGATTCTGTTTGCACAACCAACCTGCGGTGGTGGCCAAGTTTTTTCTCATTCTCTACACTTTTCTCGAAATTTTTCGATTTTTCAGCTAATTCAAATTTTTCACTGTCCACGCACTGATCCACTGCTGGTTCATTGGTGATTTCACCACCACGACTTTGCCTTTGATTTGTGTACCTTTGTGGCTTTGCTATACCACAACTATCAGCAACAACAACACTAATCGATTGCACCGCATCGCCATCACTGCTACTAAAACTTTTTGACGTTGCAACCCGTTGTTTTTCGTGTGTCGCCGATCCGTTGCCTGTGAAATGTAAAGCATTACTGAAGTCACACTGGAAGTTGTGGTTTGTGTGTTTTGTAAATTGGTAGTACATAGAACTCTGGCTGGAGCTTCAATTGGAGCTGTTGTGCACGCTGTCTGCCAGCGAGCAAAGAAAGAAAGCAAGTAAAAAACAGAGCACAGAAAAAAGCAGCGGTAAAAAGAGCTGTAGCGGCGGCGGCTTGTCGGCCGGGTGCTCTGGCGCTTTTGTTGGAGCGTCGTCGTCGTCAGTGTTGTTCACTTGGCTGCCTTAGCTTATTGGAGAGTTGGGTTTGATGCGAGTACGGGCTGAGTTAGTGGGTTTTATGTGCGCTCTAAGGTGTGTTTAAATTTTATTGTAAATTAAATAAATGAATAGTTGCGTGCGATAGGTGTAAAACGGAAAGCCACGTATGAAGCGTGAAGGCCCTTGGGAAAAGCTAATCAAACTAATGCGCGCATATTTGTATTTTGATATATAGTAGGTATGTGTTTGTATATGTATTTAAAGTAGAACAATAAAGGTCACGCTTGCAGTTAGAGGTCAGCCGTTGTTTGCTGATTTTATTCACTGTTCTTCAACATTGAAATGAATTCTTACTCTGGGTAAAGGGTCAGCTTCGATAGTCGATTTTTTTTTTTTTAATATGAAGCCTAAAATCTAAGAAGCTCTAACCGCGAAAAAAACGTGAAGTTTTTCAAAATTTTCCAGATGCATTAAACAAAAAATTTTGAAAAAAACATAGCTGGCGGTGTTTCTTTATGAATTGCCTATTGTTTGCTTTATCAGCTTGGAGGGAAGTTTCAGTTATATTCAAAGTTGGGATCAAGAAACGCGAAACTATTCTCCAAACAGAGTAATTATGAATCCTAACCCGGCATTGTAAACCCTGCCCTTACAAAAAACAGAGTTCACTGATAAACTTGAAAACAAGTAAACATAAAAATCTCCGGAGAGAGAGCGTAACACATTGTTTTTGGTTTTTGACATTCTTCAGAAGTGGAATAAAAACAAAACATTAATGCAAATAAAGCTTTTTTACGGCTTGTTTTTTTTTGTGTACATACAGTGCCGGCTATCGGGGAATACTAATTTCGTCATAATAATACCTTTCATTTATAAACAAAACATCTGCACTTTGACACACAACTCTACACTCTACCACAATTAGCCAACACTGACAACAAACTCTCCACCTAGCACAGCGATTGAGCCTCTCTTTTGTACTAAGTACATTACGCTCATCAAACCACGCTCAACACTATACGCTTTTATCGCTTCCCCCACAGGCAATTCGTCGTGTGTTTTTTTTTGTTGTGATTACCGTTTCGCTTTGTGTTGACATTCCACTTAGTAGCATCGTCGCCTTCTTTGTTGGCGTCTATTGTTGTTGGCGACGCTGGAATACTATGACCACTTCCCTCCACCGCAATGGTTCCAACTGTTGATTCTTCCAACAGTTTGTTGGTATTTTTTCGTATTTGTTTTGCTTGCTTGTTTCTTCCAACCGCCATCTGCTGTACTGTTGTAGTTTCAATCTCCCTGCCTCTACCCGCTCCATCGTCGTCGTCATAGTCCAACCATTCCCGCTCATCGTCTGTTGCGCTGCCAGCATCGGGTGCTGTGGTTGTGGTTCCAATTGCTTCGCTACCGCTATTTGTGGTGACCGCCGCAAAGAGATGCTCAATGAATTCACGGTGATCTTCGTCGTGCTCTGGCTTTGGTGTTTGTTTGTCGTTTGTTGCCCCCGTTGTGGGTGCTGTGTATTCAAAATCTGTTGATGACTTTAGCCTCTTTGTTGTTGCTGATGTCGTTAATTCTTTTATTTGTTGTTCGCGTTGCGTTGTTATCGCTTTTTGTGAGCGAGTCGCACTTTCTTTTGTTTCAGGCGGCTGCGGTGCGGGACGTTTTTGTCTGGCAGCTGTGCTCTTTTTGTTACCTTCTGTTGTCGCGTAATCTTCTGTTTCATCATCAACTTTTCTGCTGAAGAATTTGCTTAGCTTTTTCTTTGCCGATTGTGGTTTTTGACTTTTTCCTGCACAATTTGCAATTTATTAAAAATTACCAATTTACTATTCGTTATAAATAAATAGTCAAAAGACAATCTAGTTCTAGTTTAAAACTGAATAATGCCTTACATTTTAAACGCAATATTAACTCGTAAACAGGTATAAAAACTCCAAATATGTAACTGCATGCGAGGAATTCAAAATAGTTAAGATAAGATTAGTTATAAATTGTAAGATTTACAGAAGTATTCAAATGTCTAAGAAACCACTACTTGGTATAAAGCTGTACATTTCGATTGCTTCGAACTATTAAAAAACATTTACTAAATATGTACATGTATGTATGTATGTAAATGTGCATGAGTTATCTATATTCAGTATATGAATTGCAATATCTTCAGGAAGTATTGGGGAACATTTCGACAAATCAGCTCTGAAGCGAAATCTAGTTTTTTTGGGTATATATTGGTAGATATTAAATGAGACTGTGCACTAAGGATCTATTGTATCCTCTGCTCTTCTCAACACTTCAGTTAAAACTATCACCGCTAGAAGATGCGGTGTTTCTTTGGTCGAGTAGCAGAACCGCCAAACATCGTTCGATCGTATACCTAGTCTATGTAGATGATCCTTTAGTCTACACTTCCCTATAAATTTTTTTTGGACAATTCTTAATTTATATAGGGAAGATTGATAAGAAACTGGAGCCCCTTAAGCAATATCCCTCAAGTTGAGCACAACCAGCGCTGTTATCTCATTGATCCTCATGCCTTTCTGATCTCTCTGATTATATTAAGACCTATTGCCAGTTTACATACAATTGGAATTGAGGCTGACTTCTGATGGCGACAATTTTTTTTTACTTTCTGCGCAGGTTTTTTCTTCATACATAAACTTCCGCCTGAAATATGCTGGGCTACTCTCCCATTGCAACCGACATCCTAACTCTAGCTTCAGGTTATGAAGGTTTTCTTCAGGTTCAACCCCTGAGTACCATCCTTTAATTAGGTGTAGATCCCTTTACCGCATTCCCGAACTTTCATTTAGCTACACGATATACATAGCCAAGGGCAGCGGACTCAATTATTTCAGAGCAGATGAAGAAGACCGTATCGTACTAAGATCCACACAAGGGGAATCTTTTGCTTGTTTTCAGTGAATCTTTTCTGCTGTGTTTTGTTAGGAAACATTAGTTGTACTAAAAACAAAGGGATCGATTGCGAACTTTCCACTGCATACCTGACTCCCATGGAGCTAAAAAGACAACCCAGTATTTGTCTGAAGTAAATAGGATGGTGGTAAAAAGTTTCTTTGTTGTCCTTATCCAAGAAAAACGCACGCATTCTACCGATTCATGGGAGAACAGCTGAAAGCTACACTCCTCATCAATCTACAGTATCGGAAGATTCATTTAATTATTTTTAAATACTAAAGTTTTCTAAATCCAATAAAATAAAATTATCAAGAGATAAAGTTTGGCTAGGTTGAGATGGCTAGAGAGGGTGACTCCCCTTACAACCAAGAGCGGACCCGTTGTGATACCATATGCATTACTCTATGACGTTACGACGCATACTAGGGATCAGGCACACATACGAGTTGTATTATTTAATGGTGGGCCATCTCGTTTAGAGATCTGCGGATTCCGTATGAGTCTAAAGATTTCAGGGCTGCTTGACTCTCAGAGAAGATGAATACTTGTCTATTCCACGATGTAGGTGTTATGTAGTGTTCGACACGAGTGGTTGCTTTGTACTGACTCTTCTTTTATTTCTTTTGTCATTTGCTTCTTACTTACTAACATGCATACATAGGGTTGCCAACTACTTACACAACATCTCCCTTTTTTATCGACACAATGTAATTAGAAACATATTTGACTAAATATACACGTACATTTGCAATTAAAGTAATACAATATAATTCGAAACATGTTTGACTAAATATAAACTAAAGTAATGTGCTTACATGTAAAAGTGACAACTAGCTAAAGATCTAACTTTTGCGGTGGAGCTATTCTACGGCCGCTTCTGGTTGTGATGACATTTTCTTTAACTGTTTGGTTTTTTGCCCTTGGAGTACTAGTGTTCTCGAGTTCCGGTTGTGATAGATCGATATCACTTCCCTTTCTCGAACCCGACTCCGTCTTTTCGTTTATATCTGGCTCATTGTTTGCCATATTATTACTGCTATTATTTGGCTCCGAGCTATTTAACGTAGATGGTTTGTGTTCTGGAATTTTCATGATATCTACTCTATTTCTCCTGTACAGATTCTTGTTTTCATCTAAAATTATAAAAGACCTAGGCTCCTGACATTTTTGTACTATTTGACCCGGTACCCATAGGGACTTAGGATTTTTCTTATAATATATTCGATCTCCT